ATATGCTTTCATTTTCCATGACTAGTTCTGATTCATCTCAGGCCCTTTACAAGACATTTTGGGCGCCTATCTCTTCTATCTTTTCTTTGAATTCAAATTTTAGTCTTTGCTTTGTTTCGAGTGTGTTTAATGCGTGTGGTGTTCCGAGATTTGTCTCTCGTGAACACACCCCTTCTCCTCTCTCCCATATCGTGAACCTATAGACGAATGGAGCATGTTGAACTTCAAATCCCAACGTAAATCATAAACTATCATTGCTAGAGTAAGAAACAAAATACCACCTGTCCACACATCACAAGTGATTTAATGATCGTGTTCATGTCAATCTTGAATATGAGACTGCACACGCCAGAAGTCAATTGGCAATTACAAAATTTCATATGAGATAGTGTCAAAGATGCCAAACGAGAGTTTACATTCTAATGCAAACTAATTACTGATCAAGAAAAGTGCATCAGGCACCAAACCTACAGAGAAATTAAAATTTACTTATATTGCTACCTTTAAATGCAATGATCCTCATGTTGGGATTCATTAGAGCGGAATCTGCCGGGACTAACTTCTCCAGAGGAGCTATGAGATTACTCATGTCTATAATCACAACACGATTCTCTCACACAAATGTACTTGTCAGACTCCATTGTAACATTCGCAGAGGTGATGAAATCCTCATTGATATCAAGGCTCGAAAGCTGCAAAATCACATAGTTCAGAAAACTACCAAACTGGGAAACTTTGTCTAAGTTTACAGATCTGAAAGTAGTAGTTCCGTAGAATCACTCGTTTGAAAGTAGTAGTGATCGGAGAAAACCTACATCAAAGATCTATGTGACGGAGATCGGATCRTTAGGGTCAAGTCACCGTCAGAGTCAGAGTTGGCCATGGGTCAACACGGAAAAAAAATGGTTAATTGGTATGAAACGATGTTGAAGCACGAATTGGTGTGAGAGGAGAATCGAAGAAAGTAGCATTGGAGGAATTTGAGAAGGAGAGACTGAGAATGAAAATGCGTCGCATAACGAAGAATAAGAACCTATAAAACAAAAAGGGTTTTGGGGTTTTAGGTTTTCTTTCTAATTTACTAGTCGCACGCGCGCGTTTTAGTTTTGAAGTTTTTTTGTAAATTGTTTATATGAAATGTTTTTTTTGTTGCTAATTTTGTTTGATTATAGTATATATATAAAATTCTCTTACTAAAGTTAATTATGTTTCGTTTGATTGTAGTTAGGTTTGATTAAAATTCGGTTTATAACCTATAAAACAAAAACTTGCATGTTCTTGACATAAATTTTGATCTTCATGACGTAAGTTAAGTATTTAATTTAGTGTAATAGAATTAGAAATTGTTCGATTCGATCATTTTGTATTGTTATTATGTTAAATGACGCAAATTTGATTTATCTTAGTACTGTAGTATTTATAATCGACCAAACTATCAATTCATACGAAATACAAAATAGTAATTGATTTGAAATGCAATTACTTTTTTTCGTAAATTGTTTTATTGGATGTTTTTGTTGTTAATTTGGTTAGTTTGATTATAGTATAAATATAAATTTCTCTTATACTAAAGTCAACTCTATTAATTTGTCAAACGGGATTCCGAGTCCAAAGTAAACAATTAGATTACTAAATAATCTCTCTAGTTCCATAAAACGATCAAAGACTTTTTTCAGAAATCTTTTTTCTTTTTTTCAGAAATCGATCCAAAAATGGGTAACGCAAATCAGGTTACTCAACCAGATATGCATCAATCCCACGACTAGTGACGGCGTTTCATTTATAACTTTTCATTTATTTTTACGAACTTGCTTTTAAAAGCTCAATTATAAGGATTTATTACCCACTTTTTTCACAGAAATTACAGAAAAAAACTAGTAGCAGAAAAATAAAAGTAAAATCTAAATGATATTTTAAAAATGCAAAACACATACTAAAAAATGCTTATGGACTAAACTACAAACAACTAACAAACTGCTTTCTATACGCCGATTACGATGAACCGCCTCGAAAAGTCGCAAATAATGAGCCTTTGAAGTTGTCACGAATTGTTGATACATGGCGAACGACCAAACCATCTCCGCTCTTACAACTTCCTCGAAGTCCAAACACTGCTAACCTGCCCAACAGCTCAAACAACTACAAACTCATTAAAGGCCTCATATGGATGTACAAGGAACAAAAAACTTGGCCCAGTCGAAATCGAAGATCTCGGATAAAGACACAGCCTTGCACCTCAATTCCGTCGATCTAGCCATGGCATTTGCAGCACAGATAGCGACTCTGCACCACCGCATGAAAAATATGCTCTTCAAGCCGATCCTGAGAGCCGCTGCGAACTTTGTCATTGAAAGAAGATCCATTAATCGAGTGAAGCAAACCTCAACACATTAATCGCTAATTTGAACTCTTATTTGGGACCATTCAAGGAAAACCAAATCCTAACTAAACTCGGAAGTAGAGAGTAGCCGAGAAGAGCCACCGCTACAAGAAAGGGTCATCAACAAATCTCCGAAGAAGAATCGTCTAGAGTCAAAACCGATGACCAATACCCCATAGAGAACATATCGGAGCCACTAACGCAACCGAATTAAACAGCAGATAACTAAATATGGTTATATGTATTCCTTTTTGTCGTGTTTCCAAATTTTATACAGTCGCAAATTAATTAGTTAGTTGATTTTCTTCGAGTTTGTTTCTAATTATGGCTAACAATGTTGTTAGCTTAGAGATAACTAACAGTTTTTTTTTTTTTTTATAGATTTTGTACATAAACTTGTATTTGGCCCACTAAAGTGGAAATATACAGAAACTTTATATACAAATATAGCATATTGAACTTGGTTAGTTGAGTTGGGAAATAATATGTAGAACGTTTTTGAATAATTTCAACTTAATCAACCAGATACAATATGTCATGTTTATATACAAAAACAGAAAAAAAAATTGACTAACAATAACCATATTTAATTAGAAACAAATCTAATCATGTTAACTAACTAAGTTGCTTTTGGTCGCGAGAAATCGATTCATATCATAAAGGGAAATATTACAAGTGATTAAATTATTCTTGTTTTGTTCAATTTATCACCTTTTCAATTTTTTATGAATAGGTTAATTACTAGAACAACTTTTATTTAACCTTGAAACTCAAGTTATAAAAGACAAATAAACCTTAGTAACAAGTTTTTATTACGAAAATATCATTCATAATTTG